TGCGGTATGCGGGCCTCTCACTGTTGTGGCCTCTCCCGCTGCGGAGCACAGGCTCCGGACGCGCAGGCCCAGCGGCCATGGCTCACGGGCCCAGCCGCTCCGCGGCATGTGGGATCCTCCCGGACCGGGGCACGAACCCGTGTCCCCTGCATCGGCAGGCGGACTCTCAACCACTGCGCCACCAGGGAAGCCCAGGAATGACACTTATTGATTCTTGACAGGTGGATCTCCTTCTAGCCTTCTGAAACGAGAACAACTTTCTGCTCAGAGTGTTTGGAAACATAATGATTATTGCCCTTCTTGCCTTGAAATCCCAGAATGGAAGGGAGGAGGGCAAAGCTAGACGATTTGGAGTTGCAAACCTGCTTCTCACAAACCAGCAAAGACAGAGGGGACAGAATCAGTAGGTGGTAGCTCAATCCGTGACACAATCTACACACTCTTAAGAACTGAATAAAAACACTTCTAATAAACTTTTCAGGTTGTAAAACTGAATGTACCAAACATAGTCATTGTATGAGCAAACCAAATTATGCATTAACACATTTTTATGTTCCTAAATTAACCAAATGACTAGTGACTATAGAACTGCAAAAGGTGTTAAAAATTAAATATGCATATATTCCAATGTTTCCCCAGTCTTCCGTTTTTGCTCGGCAGAAACAACTTATTTTCCCACGAGGATTTAAAATACCTTAAGCAATACATGTTTCTTTCAACCTTGGCCACTAGGAGGCAAAGAATGTTTCCTTTCCTCCCTCGGGGGTAGCTCTGGGTATAGTGGTGGTATAGCTTCGTTGGTAGGGAGTTGGGGAGACACCAAGAGGTAGGGTGGGCTGCCCATTGATCTGGGGCAGTGACTTGAAAATTGGACATAGTCTTACTAAGCAACCCATTGCCAGACATCCAGCTCAGCTGCAAGAGTCCAAGTCTTCAGCCTGCTCTGGCTTAGGAGAGCTCTCCATCCCCGACAGCATCAAACCCCGTGTATGGAGACCCTGGGAGTGAGATACAAAGCTGGGAACTGTCCACGTGCTATGTTACTTTCGAAACCCTAATGGAATCCTAGACACTTGCCATACATTCACTGGTGTAAATTGGCCTTTCAAACTTTCTTTTGCAAAGGGGTGCCTTTAAATTGCCAGCAGCTGGGGCTTCCCTGGTGGCGCAGTGGTTGAGAGTCCGCCTTCCAACACAGGGGACACGGGTTCGAGTCCTGGTCCGGGAAGATCCCACGTGCAACTAAGCCCGTGTGCCACAACTACTGAAGCCCGTGCGCCTAGAGCCCGTGCTCCGCAACAAGAGAAGCCACCGCCATGAGAAGTCTGCGCACCGCAACGAAGAGTAGCCCCCGCTCGCCACAACTAGAGAAAGACCGCGTGCAGCAACGAAGACCCAACACAGCCAAAAATAGATAGATAGATAAATAAATAAATAAATTTGGTTTTTTTGTTTTTTTTTTTTGTTTTTTTTTTTCGGTACGCGGGCCTCTCACTGCTGTGGCCTCTCCCGTTGCAGAGCACAGGCTCCGGACGCGCAGGCCCAGCAACCATGGCTCACGGGCCCAGCCGCTCTGCGGCATGTGGGATCTTCCCGGACCAGGGCACGAACCCGCGTTCCCTGCATCGGCAGGCGGCCCCTCAACCACTGCGCCAGCAGGGAAGCCCTGTTTTTTTTTTTAATTGCCAGCAGCTGAGCCCTGTGTGGGCTGGTTTCCAAAGTTGCTGAAAGTGTAAAGGGTAGATCGACCTAGACAGCAGGTTTGGGTCAAAACCCACATTTGTATCCAGCAATGTCTATGGAGGTCACCTATACACTGGGTAACTTTTGCCACCACAAGGCACAGCAGTGGTGGTCAGTGAGCTGACAGCTGTTTGGACTTCTGTAACAAAGCCATTGACTTCCCTGTCCAAGCCCAAGGACTACATATCCCCAAACAGGCAGTAGCTTTCAACATCCTCATCCACCGAGGGCCTGTAGTGCATCACATACCAGGAAACAGCCCATGGAAGCAGTCCTCTCCCCTTCCCCCAGACAAGAACACACTTAAATCCAGTGAAGAGATCATTGCTTTGGGTTGTATATTTGCTTATTTACCATGCACACAGGCAGCCCTTCTGGGTTGAACTTGAGCTTTCAAAATGCATCGCGCATAATGGTGACCTTGTTCTCTTGTGTTGCTGCTTGGAAAGAAGACTCTTCTAACCAGCCTTTCTTCCCTTCAACCTCCCAACAGCACCTTATTCTCTGGCTGGCAATGACTAATACTAAACATGTACCCAAATGCTTGGTCTCTGTAAGAAAAACATCTTGGGAACAGAGAAAGGGCATTTCCTTACCTCCACCCTTTATCAAGATGCAGCGCATTGACACCTTTTTTTCTAGGCACCTGTCTAGCTCATATCCAGAAAGATAGATCAGTTCATTTGGCAGTTGGGGTTGCCTTGGTGAGGAGGCCTGTCATTCATTTACTTATTCATTCATTCACTACAAACTTTTGAGTGTCTAATCACTGTCTCTGAGACCCAATACTGAACAATGGTGACACAGAGATGAAGAGCCTCCAGGAAGCCACAGGAAGGTTCCCCTCTCTCTGTCCTTCCAGACCAAGTCTTCTGCACCACACTAAGAGAACTCAGCAAACATTGAAGAACAACCCAGTGAACTGTTAAATTCAGTTCTGCCTTTAAATTCAATGGCTCATCTTATGTCTTAGGGTTCCCCCCTTCCCCCCACCTTTTTTCAGTGTCAATAAAGCTTATCATTGTTTAGTGACCTTTGCCTCTCTATTACCCCACTCATGGTCTCCTATCATTCACAGGTGGCACCATAATTTATGCAATGGATAGGTTTTGCAAAAGAAATTTTTGTAAATTGATTCCCATTTAACAGAAGCCTATGGTGGCTTCTTTGTTACTATCCCCCCTTGACTCCTCAAATTACAAATTTATCTGTTGGTTAAGTCTGGATTACCATCTACAGCAAAACCTCAGTTGAATCTCTCAGATCCCGGCCTGCTCTGATTTTTTTTTTTTTTTCTGATTAAGCAGAAATTCTTCTCCTGCCTTAGTAAATGGAACCTGCTAACCATCCCCAAAGAAGATTGCAGGGCCTAGACAAAACTCTTTTGACTATCAGAGTTTGAGATGAAAGAGAAGAGATTAGAAGATGGAAAACTAAATATGGACTGAGTCTAGTGTCATTAGAAATTTGATATGAACTTGTTTTCTTGTGACTTGATTCTTTATCTAGGGGTTAAACACATTAAACAAATCTAGTTCTAGTTACCAAGATTTTATTGGGTTACTTACCCTCATCACTGGCCTCCAGAACTTCCATACTGCCAGAAATTTCACTTAGTGATTCAGCTATAGTTCAATCACTAAAATAAAATACAGAGCAAAAAAAAAAATCATTTACTATCTAGGATATAATACAATCATTTTACCCTACTCCTTATCCTCCAGTTAGATTCTTAAACTATGCAAGAAAAGATATACAAAGGAAATTGCCATTAGAGAGATTTATTCTTCCTTAAAAAAGACAATGGGGCTTCCCTGGTGGCGCAGTGGCTGGGAGTCCGCCTGCCGATGCAGGGGACGCAGGTTTGTGCCCCGGTCCGGGAGGATCTCACGTGCC